GCGCGGCCCCAGCGCCGCCGGCCCCGGCGCCGACCCTCTCGCCCGCCCGCAGGTGTAAGGTCTGCCCCTTGACATTCTTCACCAAGTCGGAGATGCAGATCCACTCCAAGTCGCACACGGAGGCCAAGCCCCACAAGTGCCCGCATTGCTCCAAGTCCTTCGCCAACGCGTCCTACCTGGCGCAGCACCTGCGCATCCACCTGGGCGTCAAGCCCTACCACTGCTCCTACTGCGAGAAGTCCTTCCGGCAGCTCTCCCACCTCCAGCAGCACACGCGGTGACGGGGCCGGGGCCGTGGGGGGGCGGCCGCGGGGCCCTGCCGGCGCCTGACGCGTGTGCCCTCCCTCCTTCCCGCAGAATCCACACCGGAGACAGACCCTACAAGTGCCCGCACCCCGGCTGCGAAAAGGCCTTCACGCAACTCTCCAACCTCCAGGTGGGCAGTGCGGCGCGAGGGAAGAGCCCGGGAAGGACGGGAGAGGGCACAAGGGAAAGAAGGAGGGAGAGAGCCCCGGGAAAGACAGGAAAGGGCAGAAGGGAACAGGGAAGAGGGCCCCAGGAAGGATGAGGAAGGGCAGAACTGGGAATGACGGGGAAAGGGCAGAAGGGAAAGAAGGAGGGAAGAGAACCCCAGGAAAGGTGGGAAAGGGCAGAAGGGAACAGGGAAGAGAGCCCCGGGAAGGATGAGGAAGGGCAGAAGGAAAGGGGGAAGAGAGTCCCGGGAAGGATGGGAAAGGGCAGAAGGGAAAGAAGCTGGGAAGGAGCCCCAGGAAAGACGGGAAAGGGCAGAAGGGAAAGAAAGGCGGAAGAGAGCCCTGGGAAAGATGGGAAAGGGCAGAAGGGAAGGGGGAAGAGAGCCCCAGGAAGGACGGGGAAGGGCCGCAGGGGGTTCTGCTCGCGGGCGCTGGGCCCCCCCGCCAGCCCCCTGGCCCCTCTCGGCCATCACCCCGTCCCCATGTCCCCTCCTTGGCCTTTGAAGTCTCACCAGCGACAGCACAACAAGGACAAGCCCTACAAGTGCCCCAACTGCTACCGGGCTTACACGGACTCGGCGTCGCTGCAGATCCACCTCTCGGCGCACGCCATCAAGCACGCCAAGGCCTATTGCTGCAGCATGTGCGGCCGCGCGTATACCTCGGTGAGGGCGCCGGGGCGGCGCGGGCGCCGCGGGCACGGGGCC